TATAGTTATAGATTTGTTTCTACGCAAAGCAGTATAGTAATATGCTATTTAGTTTATGATCCGTTTCTTGATAGTTTAAGATGATTAATTGCAATGAAAGTGCCCTGATAGTCTAGCATAGGTTTTGTTGAAAGATAGTTCTTTCAAGGGAGGCGGAATGTTCGCGAGAGCGAATTTGACTTGCGCAGTGGCAGGTCGTCGAGGCTATAAGCGTTGGGGAAGGGGAACAGTTAGTTAGGAGAGAGTATGGCGGAGATGTTGTGCGGCGAAAGAGTTGAGTTGTAAAATAAAGCATTTCTGCAAATCTAAGAGCGGCATTTATTGCGAGCATTCCGACACGACAACAAACGGAAACCATAATAATGATCTTTTATATAATTATATAATCATATAATTATATAAATATAATTATATAATTATATAATTATATAAATGTCCCATCGATTCTTCATGGCTTATTGGAAGCTGGATTGCATCCTGACGAGACGAAAATAACGTTGGACATGGACAAAATAGAAAGGAAACTTCGTTACCATAATAATGATCTTTTATATAATGATTTGCAAAATGCAATCCAGCTTCCAATTAGCCATGGAGAATCGATGGGACATTCTGTAAGTTTATAATAACATCTCGTTTTCGCATCATGTGCTGCCGTTCTACATTTTGTTCATCGTATCCGTTCCATGGTACACTTCCTGTGGAATGTTAAATAATAATCGTTATTTCGTTATGCAATAAATGCAATTTCAATATTTTACTATAAAAATGTTACAATTGCTTTTCAGTTAAAGGGCAGCAAAATTATATTAATATACTCGCCTATGCACATTTCCCAAAGTAACAGCATTAAAGAGTATACATCGATTTTTTTTATTGGGATGGTGCCCGTAACATAACGCCGGTGCTTGCCATTTGAAGTTTTCTAATCGCAGATATCTTTCGTAATCGCGTTCCACGTAAACCTAAAAATGAAAAGAGTAATTTAAATATTACATTATACGAGAAAACAATGTTAGAAACAAATTTCGTATTGATTTATACATTAATAAAACTGCAATATAAAGTCGCAAAATTGTTAGGATTACAATGAAAAAAAAATCGTAATCAATACTTAGATTGTAAATGCAATTAATTGCAAATATAGTAGCTTAAAATTTGATCCTCCGTCTCTCATTCATCTTGGCGATAAAATTTCTTCGCGGTTCTATAACGTAAGTACAATATCTTTATCACAGAAAATAAATCTATATTTAATTGTGATTACGATTTACAAAAGTTCCGCGTTCCAGACGGCACGTGCGATTAACATCGACACGGTACAGCGAATTTATTCAGAAACGAACATTTTGTCGAAAACAATGCCGGTCGTTTCCGTTGGTGAAACGCTCATGGGTGTGTCGCGGAATCGCGGATATGACGTGATCCGTTTCATTACAGTCTATTCTGCCTGTGAACTTTTTACATCTGCTAACGAACGACCTTAAATTCGTAAAAGTGCACTCGGCTAACAAACGTGAACAAAAATTACGCACATCTATTTCATCACCAAAGAGGAATACGTAAAATAATAATAAAGTCACTTGTGGCAAATAATTTAAATTATGTAGAAATATATATAAAAAACGTTCTACTTCTAAAAATTTATATAAATTTTATGTTCGCAAATGAATTGGATCACTTACAAAAAGATACCTTTACTTCGAAACAATTGACACTTGTAAAATGTTACATTTACACGTGGTATATGTTAAGGTAAAACTGCATCGCAGCATTTTAGAGAACACAGTGGGGCGTAGAGAAAATTTAAATTCCACATACTTTGTCAATTTCTCTGGCCAGCTCCCATCCGCCAAGTTTGACAGTCGCATCGGATGCAAAGTAAACGCAGTACGAGCTAACCGCTGTGTGAATGTATCCACGCATGTGACAGTAGTTCAATACGTCCGCCAATTTCATGCCGATCTGCATGACTCCTTGCACGCTTATTCGCTCGTCCTGCTCGTGCATGTAATTGTACAACGAGCAGTCGATTAACTCGAAGACGGAGACGAGGCCGTACTCGAGCGTAGACGCCGTGGCCATCAGCAGCAGTACGTTGGGATGCCGAATTTCACTGAAATTGCCAAGATTGCAATCATGTTATATAAAGCAGACAGGATACTTTGATTATACCATTTTCCAAAATTACAACTAATATTCATTTTAATATAATGACCATTGAAAAACGAATTTTGACTCTCAGCCCAGTGACTCCTTCGTACATTTTTATTTTATTATCTTAAGAACGTGTTTTCTTTCTTTACGTCACTTGACCGTTTCTACCAATATGGATTAACTTGAATCTCGCTTCAACTCACTTTTCATCCTTTTCTAGTTCTAAGAATTAGAAAAAAGAAGATAGATAAAAATTAGATGAAAAGTAAGTCGAGTAGAGATTAAAGTTAATCTGCATTGGTGGAAACGGGTGGAGACAGAGCGGCTCCTACCTAAGGATCTCCACGTCCGCCCGTATCGCGTCGCGACACGTTGGTAAGATGTGTCGCTTCAGCGTCACCCTCGTGTTGTGCCATTCCGCGCAAACCAGCTCGAGACACTTGTTCCCCGTGCCCACGACACACCCGTTCTCGAATATCAAGTCTCAAAAT